TAGTGTGAGGCTTAGCTCGAGCACCTTGAGGGTGTTAGGAGTGATGGTGTAACCAACTTCCTCGGGAATTTTGAGCCCAGGAGGGCAGGGCAGAGTGAAGCCGTCATGCAGGTATTTTCCACTCATGGCATCGTCTAAGAGTCTGTGGAGAAGGAAAGACAGGCTGTCCAGTTGAACTTGGTCCCATCTGCCCGGCCCAGCCTCCCCGCTAGAGCTGAGTGGGAGGACGCAGGATGGGTTCCCAGGGAGGTGGAGTGCCTGAGCAGCCCCCTTCCCTCTGTACCTACCTCTGTCTGTCTCTGATGTCCACCGGACTCCACGCAGAGCCATACAGGGTCAGCTGCCATTGCCGGAGGGTGCCGGCCGGGAGCGCCTCATCTCCTAGGGCAGCAAGCGAGGTGGGCCGTGAGCCGGGCCCTTGTCGGCCACACAGACAGCAGAGCTCCTGCCATGTGACAGGGCTTGGCCAAAGGAGCTGTCTCGTGTCCACTGAGCCCAGGGTTCTTCAGATCTGCCTCTCGGGGTCCCCTCGGGATGGAAGGGGTGGTGAAAGGTGGTACTCCAAAGCAGAGAAGTTTTGCCTCTCTCTCTTTTTTAATCCTCACCCGAGGACATTTTCCATTGATTTTTAGAAAGAGTGGAAGGGAGGGGGAGAGACACAGAGAGAAACATCGATGTGAGAGAGACACATAGATTGGTTGCCTCCCGCAAGTGCCCATCAGGGCCAGGGATTGAGCCTGCAACTGAGGTACATGCCCTTGACTGGAATCGAACCTGGGACTCTTCAGTCCACAGGTCAACACTCTAACCACTGAGCAAAACTGGCTAGGGCTTGCTTTTGTCTCTCTCATATTTTGAGATTTCAGCTGTGGTTTTGCTTGGGAAAAAAAATCCTTCTACTAAATCAAGGGCTGAAACCACCAGTCTAGAGGACACCTACCTGGACTGGCAGGTGGGAGGCTGGGCTCAATTTCCATTCTCCTCCCTGAAGCGGTGACCTCCCACAGCCACTGCACCCCTGGAGGTGGCCCGGTCTCCCCAGAGTTACCTGCCTCGGGCTGGCGAAGGCAGGCTATGTGCGAAAGGGCTTGAAATGGGTGTCAACAAGGAGTCTCTGTTGCTCCCCTGAGGAAAGCAGACCAGCCACTGGGGAACACGAGAGTCAGCACAGAGGGCACGTGACACCAATGCCAGTTCTGGACGGGGCTTGCCTCTGGTCTGCCCAGCTGGCTCATGGCAGCCCTAGGCATCCACACGGACCATGTCTGTGGGACCTGGGAGGCAGAGGGACCAGCCGGCAGCCATGACAGCAGGGCCCGAGGGAGGGGGCAGGCTCACCTACATCCCTGACCACGAGTCTGTAAGACCCTCGCGCCCTCTCCCCCCAGCAGCGCACAGTGGAGAAGGTCCAGTCCTCGAAGCCGCTGGGGTCCCTGGGGGAAGAAGAGAGTGGAAAATCTGGAGGCCGCAGAGAAAACCCTTTTCTCACGGTGGCAGCCCTGGAAGTGCGGCAGCTGTCGCCAGCTGTGAGGGAGGGAGTGTGCTAGGGGTCCCCTGCCCCTGAGCTCAGGGGTCTCATGCCCGCGTGCTGTGGTGGAAGAGGCAGAGGTGGGCGAGCACAGGCGGGGCTGGCAGCTGGGGTTAGGGCTGCTTTCTGGGGCGCTCACGAGCTCCACCTGGTTTCCACATTTGTCAAACGAGGTGGCACAGGCGACCCCAGATGGTCCTCGTGAGAACTGGAGGACACGGAGTGAAGTGCTGTGTCAGCGCCGTAAGCACTCGTGTGAAGCACATCATGACCAGCTGCAGCCGCCAAGGGCGCCATGGGCCCAGGACCTCACCCGTGGCCAGGTCTCCTGCCCTGGGAGAGGCCCTGGCTGCAGAGGGCTCAGAGGCGGCAGGTACGTACGAGTCCATGCTGCGGGGGGCGCCGATGAGGGACATCATGCCGCTGGGGCAAAAGAGCCGCAGCTCCAAGCTGCCACGTCGCGGGTGAGTGATGGAGACCGTCACGGCCACGTGCTCCAAGGTCTGCAGCCCCGACATCTCCAGGTCCGTCCTGCTGACTGAAGGGGGTCAGGCTGGGCAGCTGGGAAACCAGCCCCACAGACACTTATACCCACCTCATCCCCGCACACAGGGGCTCATGCTCATGAAGCCACACGGAGCACCCACGGCCACTCCGGGGCCTTGTGCACCAGGTAAAGGGGAGGCGGCGGCGGCTTTGAGGCCCTTTACACTCTGGAGGCTAGTTGGGGAGACAACACAGAAGACACAGTACAAGAACCAAACGGAGAACTTCACCAGTTCATGCATCCGATGCATAATTGCCCCAGTACTGCTCCAGTTCAGGGCCTGCACCAGATGCTGGGAATGCAAAGGTAAGTCAGACATGGTTTCTGCCCTCCACCGGCCAGTGGAAATGCTAGGGCGTGAGGCACGCATAACTAACACCAGAACCCAGACGAGTGGGTGGGTTCAGGCACACAGAGAGGAAATGAATGCAGGTTGCTAGAGGGTATTCTAGAAGGGAAAATGGCATATGCAAAGGCAGAGGTAGAAATGGTAGTTTCATAAAGAATTTTAAAAAAACTACTTAGGAAAAATAAACTTCAAGGAAACTGAATAAAAAACAAAATCAAAAGGATATATCGTGTGTGATTTCATCTATATAGTGTTCACGTGTAACATAACTAGAGATAGGGGCAGGCCAGAGGGGACAGTGTGGCCCGGTGGGTGACATGAGGGAGTGCAGTGAGGATGGGACTGCTCTCAATTGTGGTTGTGGTATTGGTTATATAAGGCAACACGTGGTAGAACTGCATATACACATACAGGCACACACGAGTGCATGTCTCACTGGTGAAATCTAGATAAGCTATAAGCTCTCTGGACTGTACCAGTGCCATTTTCCTGGTTTTGATAGTGTACTCTAATTATTTAAGGCATTAACATATGGAAAAGGGTAACTGGAATTTCCCTGAACATTTCTTTGCAACCTCCTATGAATCTAAAACTATTTTAAAGAAAAAGTTTTTTAAACAAACAAGCTGCTGAAGTAGAAGACGCAGCTGGAGAATATTGAGAGTCTTTCTAAAGCACCGTTTCCCCACCAGTGTGTCCTCGCAGGCAAGGCGAGAGCGCCTGTTCATAAACAGACCGGAGGCGCTGAGGAGGGGCAAGGGACCCAAGACGAGAAGGGCTTTCAGAACTTATTTTAAACAAGCAAGCTCTATCACAGATTACTGAACAAGAATGGAGTTGTGTGCCCTAACCGGTTTGGCTCAGTGGATAGAGCGTCGGCCTGCGGACTGAAGGGTCCCAGGTTCGATTCCAGTCAAGAGCATGTGCCTTGGTTGCGGGCACATCCCCAGTAGGGGGTGTGCAGGAGGCAGCTGATCAATGTTTCTCTCTCATCGATGTTTCTAACTCTCTATCCCTCTCCCTCTCTCTGTAAAAAATCAATAAAATATATTTTTTTAAAAAAAGAATGGATTAAAAAAAAAAAGTGGAGTTGTGTGTGTTTTAAAAAAAGTGCGTAAGGAAGGTGACTCTTCAGAGCGCCGGGTAGGAGGAGTGGGAGTAGGAGGTGACAGGCCAGCTGAAGTCCCTGCCTTACTTATCCTAGGGCTGAGGTGAGTGAGCAGGGAGAGCTATGACTGGAGAAGGAAGAGGAGAAAAGAGGCTGAGCCTCCGGGACACCGCTTTCTGTTTCCCGACCTGCTGCGGCCCCCTCACTGCATTCCCGAGGAGCGCACCCCCGTTATCCACTAGGACACCGTGGGAGTGGGGACTGCCTCCTGATGCCATACTTCATGTTTCTTTACCTCCTCTGCTCCAAACACCTCTCTCCATCCCATGTCAGCACCCCTTTCCTGAGCAGACCCTGGGCCTTGTCATTACCTGGGACTCCCTCATTCTGAATGCTTTGGGAACTTTCATCAAAGCTTTTATTATATAAGCAACACAAATTAATTGAAGACAAATTAGAAAAGTGGTTGAGCAAAAATGAAAAAAAAAAAAAAGCTTCCACAACTCTTGATAACATGTTGGCAAACATCTATCTAGACTTCTGTGTGTGTGTGTGAATTTCCTTCAGTCCCATCTGTAAACTCTTCAAAGCCAATGTCCCACCTCCTCGGAAAGCAACCTCTGTCCTTCCACCTTCCTCTCTCCCTCCTTGACCCTTCACTGTCTTGCTCTTCAAGAAATTTATCCAGCTCTTGCTCCTAACCAGCTGGGACCCCGCAGCTCCTCTCCAACACCCTACGTCCACTCTCAAGCTCCCTTCGCTTTCTTTGCCACTCACAGTAGCTATCTGGCAGAACCCAAACTGGATCAGCCCAATTACCCATTTTCCTGGCTAGATTTTGCTTATGTCTTTTCTACTACAAATGAAAAACAAAAACTAATAAACCCTTCCTCAACTTCTCACTTCCTTCCATCTACTGTTAAGAGCTTGGACTCTGGTGTGGCTCAGTGTTGAGCATCGACCTATGCACCAAGAGGTCACGGGTTGATTGCCAGTCAGGGCACATGCCCGGATTGCAGGCTCGATCCCCTGCAGGGGGTGTGCAGGAGGCAGCTGATTGATGTTGATGTTTCTCTCTTGATGTTTCTCTCTCTCCCTCTCCTTTCCTCTCTCTCTCTAAAAATCAATAAAAACATATTATTTTTAAAAGGGAGAAAAAAATTTTTGGACTGGAGCCATCCAGCCTGAGTTTAAATCTCAGCTCTGCCATTACTAGCTGTGAGAATTCAATTAGTTTCCTTACCTGTAAAATGGGGGTAGTAACAGCACCTACTTCATAGAGTTGATAAATTAGTTAATATACATAAAGTAACTAGAACAGTACCCAGTAAATGTTAAGATGATAGAAGTATCAGATATTATGTTTTATTTGCTATTAAAACTTCTTTAAAAGTATGTCTATATTCACTATGTCTACTTCTTACCTTTCCATTCATCCTTAGCATTTTTTTTCCTATTAAAAGAGTGTACATGGTGCCGAAACAGGTTTGGCTCAGTGGATAGAGCATCGGCCTGGGGACTGAAAGGTCCCAGGTTCGATTCCGGTCAAGGGCATGTACCTTGGTTGCGGGCACATCCCCAGTAGGAGATGTGCAGGAGGCAGCTGATTGATGTTTCTCTCTCATCGATGTTTCTAACTCTCTATCTCTCCCCCTTCCTCTCTGTAAAAAAATCAATAAAATATATTTAAAAAAAAAAAAAGAGTGTACATGGTTTTAAAAGTAAACTGATTCTTTGAGAAATTTGAATATGTTTGAATGTACCCACTGTGGTCTGGCCTCCTCCACTGTTCCTTTTTCCTTTTAATTTCATTTCTTTTTTAAAATATATTTTTTATTGATTTCAGAGAGGAAGGGAGATGAAGGGGGGGGGAGAGAGAGAAGCATCAATGATGATAGACAATCTTTGTTCGGCTGCCTCCTGCACACCCCACTGGGGATCGAGCATGCAACCCGGGCATGTGCCCTGACCGGGAATCGAACTGTGACCTCCTGGTTCATAGCTTGACGTGCAACCACTGAGTCACAGTGGCCGGGCTCATTGTAGTTTTTTAAAATCCTCAACTGAGGATATTTTTCCATTGCTTTTTAGAGAATGGAAGGGAGGGAGGTGGGGGAGAGAGACAAAGAGAAACATCGATGTGAGAGACACATTGGTTGGATGCCTCCCTTACGTGCCCTGAACTGAGCCAGGGATCGAGCCTGCAACCCAGGTTCGTGCCCTTCACCGGGAATCAAACCCGAGACCCTTCAGTCTGCAGGCCAACACTCTAACCACTGAGCAAACCAGCTCGGGCAATAGTTTCTAATGATAAATCAGCGGCTATTTTATTGGGCTTCCCTTGTAAGTAAGGAGTCATTTTCCTCTTGCTGCTTTCAAGATTTTCTCCTTGTCTTCGACTTTCAGCATTTTCACAATGACGTGTCTATGGATCTCTTTATATGGATCCTACTTGGAATCCAGTTCTTTGAGATCCCTGGGTGTGTAGGTGGTGTTCTTTAGTAAACCTGGGGAGTTTTCAGGCATTGTTTTTTTGACTCTCTTTCTGCTCCTCTCTGTGCTTTCTTTCTGGCACTCCCATTACACATATATGGCTTCACTTAATGGTGTCCACCATTTCTCTAAGACTCTTCATCTTCTTCATTCCTTTTTCTCTGTTTTTCAGTTTGCATTCCTATCAATCTATCTTCAAGTTCACTTATTCCTATTCTGCCAATTCATATCTGCTGTTGAATCCCTCTAGTGAATGTTTTAGTCACTTTTCAACTTCAGAATTTCTATTTGGTTTGTTTTTAATAATTTCTGTTTTTATTGATATTTTCTATTTGGTGCAACATTATCATCAAATCTTTCCTTTTTTCTTTTGTTAATCCTCACCTGAGGATATTTTTTCCCTTGATTTTTAGAGAGAGTGACAGGGAGGGGAGGGGGGTAGAGAGGAAGGGGAGAGAGAGTGAGGTAGGGAGGGAGGGGAGAGAGAGAGAGATAGAGAGAGAGAGAGAAGAGAAACATCAATGTGAGAGAGACATATAAATTGATTGCCTCCTACACATGCCCTGACTGGGGATGGGGATTGAACCTGCAACCTAGGTATGTGCCCTTAACCAGGAATCAAACCCACAACCCTTTGGTCCATTGGCCAATACTCTAACCACTGGGCAAAGCCGGCCAGGGCTCAAATCTTTCTTTACTTACTCAATCATGGCTTCTCTTATCTCTCCATTACATGCTTGTAATGGCTACTTTAAAGTCTTTTTCTAATAAATGCAAGATCTGGCCACTCTCACAGGCAGTGTTGTCAACCAAGAGTCCTACAATCCAGCAGTTACCCTTCAAAGACAAAAGCAAAATAGATACTTCTGGACAAACAAGGACTGAGAGAACTTGCTGCCAGCAGACCCACCTTATAAGAAATACTAAATGAAGTTCTGTAAGCTGAAAGGAAATGGTCCCAGTTGGCAACTCAAATCCAAAGAAAAAAAGAAAGCACCAGTAAGTGTAATTGTGTCCTTATAGAAGACAGTTTAAGTGAAT